CTACATGTATATCAAATATTAGTGAACTTCCAAAAAATTAACATCATTCTTTAGTACTATAAATATATACTTAATATTAGTGTTTGCAACTTAGAGTTCATTGTTTCACAAACATTTACAAACTGCATGCATTTTAGACAATTTCCCATGAGGGCTTGAATTTTGACACAAGGTTACCAGGTAGTTAAAATATTTGTTCATTCACACAAGTGTTAGGCAATCAATATCAAATTTTAAAAATTAATCAGTGAAAGAAATTGCATTGGTTTTAAAAAAGTTTAAATAAATCTGCTGATACATGTGTCAAAATTATAATTATACTAAATTGCATGCTCTTAACTGGTAAAAAGAAAATGGAGAGAATATCAAATACTATTTCACATGTACAATAATCGGTCAAGTCAGATTGGAAAAAAACAAAACATTGAACGGCATTTATTTTTTATTTTCAATTTAACTAATCTTTATTGTTAACCAGTTTTATGCCATAATTTTTCAAGATTTTCAGTAATCTGCTTGTGAATTTTCATAATTTCTGATTGAAAATGGGGATGAAAGGGTTAATAGTGATTTCCACCTTTAGAAATTACATTAACACATTTTAACTAGGCAATTCACAGTGTATCCTCAGTAATGCATGTTGTGATGGATTATTGGAGACATCATGATTTATTATTGACTGTAATATTTTAATTTATCCTATAATTATGCACAGTTAGCTGTGATGAATATTATAACTGATGGGTCACAACAAAGATTGAAATTCAGCCATGCACAGGCAAACACAAAGTTTTATTTATTTTAGTCTCTGTGTTCATAGCCTGGTAAATGCTATTCACATTATTTTTTCTGGTGTGGCCAAATGTTTTCCCAATCAACAGTCGTGTATGTCACGTCTGGAAAGTCGATCATGTTAAGCATGCACACTACATTAACATAATGTAATCAGTATTCTAAAATACTGACCCCTTTTCTCCATACGGTGGGGGAGGATTATCAGGATCAAGATCGCTGCATGTCTGTGTCCCCATTTCTGAATTACTAGCATATTTATCATCCATGGGATATGATTGCTCTGTTACCATATAGCCAGCAACCTGATGGGGCTTCAGTATAGGAGTTATCAGGATTGTCATTCGCTGTAAATAGAAAAAAACACAGATGTGTGTTTATTGTTAACTATGCAAATTAATTGAGCAGAATAGCTAATATAAGGACACTCTCAAAGATGTTTGTGATATTAATTTCAAAATGAGGATTAGACATCCAACTAAACATACAGTAGGTACCAATTTTTAAGCCACTAGAGAAAGATATGACAAGCAGAAAATTAGTACACTAATTAGCTAATTATTATGAACTGAATAAGTTCAAAATATTATTAGATATGGATCAACACAAACAGTATGCATGAACTTATTTTCAATCCACTTGAGGAAAACAGTTAATTATAAACTATAATCAACTTATAAATGTACCAATTGTCAAGCCATTGAAGCAAACCATTATAATACAGAATAAACAAGCTTGGAACATTAGATTAGTATGCAAATTGGATAATTAATATGTACATATTAATTAAAAGCTGTTATTAGATATTGATCAACATAAACAGAAATCATGTATCAAGTTTCAATGCATTTCTGTAAACAGATGCAAAGATACACAGTAAACATTCTAAAACTGATTATTACGTAATTTCCTAATTAACATGCACAGATTTGTACCAAAATCTAATCAGGTCTGGTGCACATGATATATTAGTGTGGAGATTCAGTACAATCCCGCCAGTGGTTTTTGAGATATCAGTGTAACAATATTTGATACAACCACACAAACAGTCGAACAGACGAATGAACAAACATACATACATGCATACAACAACATTAGCAAATAAGAGCTAAAAAGCGATACACCTCCTGGTCATTACATGTACAATACGGATCACCACCATTCACATCAATGCCAAATCTACTGGCTGTAATGGCTATGTACAATACGGATCACCACCAGTCACATCAATGCCGAATCTACTGGCTGTAATGGCCATGTACAATACCAATCACCACCAGT